TAAAACATGTTTTTTTTCAGAAGTATAATACTATCAAGGGAAATTGACTTATTAGGGTAATTACCATTTTGTTTTGTTCACGTCTGGGTAACTCTTTTTTTGTACACATCTAGTTAACAATTTTTTTGTAAGTGTTCACATATGACCATTATAATTGGCGGCTGTAGAGAGTTACAACCCAACATAATGGTCATATGTGAATACTTCCAACAAACTCGTTACCTAGATGTGTACAAAAAAAAAAGAAGTTACACACATGTGAACAAAACGAAAATGTAATTACCCTAATAAGTTAATTTCCCTTTTTATTAAGACGGTCAATCATAATGTTTGTAATTTTAATAGATTCAGTTAAATTTCCTTAAAATAACATTTATTACCATTTATGGGCATTTAAAATGACCACGACATGTTTGAAACCATTTTTGATAGCATAATTATCAAATAACTCTATATACCGAGACAAGAGCAATGTTATCGATATGGATAAAATATATTTCTTTTTTTTTGTATTTTAAATTCATGTAATATATGGAACAAAATTGAAGATGATATTCTATTTCATGTTATTGGTCTTAATTTTTGATACTTTTAGTCTCTAGTAAATTTTAATTTTTATATTTAATATCTTAAATAATAAAATTCTATAAAATAAATGTGTATTTTTTCCATGCTAAATCTGAAGTTTTTTTGTATCAAAGTAATGTATTTTAAAAAGATATTTACCAAGATGGATTCAATGACAAGTGGATTGAGTTAATTGAAAAAAATATTATTTTTCATAGGTTAGAAAAGATGAAAAAAAATAAAAAATAAAAAAGTTGATATATAACTCCTACCATATAAATGAGTTGAGACAGTTCTACTCCTACGACCTTTACCCCCAACGTGGTAATTCATTATGCTCGTTAGCATATCTTACAAGACAGACATGACCTCCTACTACCATATATACCAAGACCCACTATTTACAACTCTACCCTATAAGACTCGACGAAGCGTCGGGGGAAGGGTTGCAGGACCTTTTCCCGCTCACCGGAACACCACACCGGCGGTGAGGGAAGCTTCCCGCGTAAAGGAGGTGGGGGGAACGGTTGCTGCACTCTTTCTCTTCTTCCTATTTGCTGAATTTTTTTTCCCGAGTGAACCGTTTGAAATAAATAATTTTTTTTCCAATACAGTAGTTGAAAAAGGTAATGAATTTATATATATATATATATATATATATATATATATATATATATATATATATATATATATATACTTTTAACCTCTATAACATCTATAAATATACACACTATAACCGTCAAACTAACACCTCCTTCTATCAATTTCTCTCTACTTTCTTCAAAAAAATGAATCCGAACAACCAAACCCTAAACTCCGAGAGAAGGAAAAAAAAAACCAATGTTTCGAGTTACCCCAACTCGAAACATTTTCGCTATTGATTCATCTCAAGGGGTTTATCGTCCACAACTCGATGCTCCATTTCAATTTTCACTACAATTCTAATAACAAAATATTAGACAATTTTACCCGATGCAAGTTCCAAATGTTACTCCAATACATCATCAAACTTTATTGTTTTTCCTTATCAACTTTTTCCAAATCAAACCAAACTCAAGTCCTACTCATTCAATCTCAAACCTAAACCCAAACACAACCCTCTCAATCTCAACAACAATACCAAATATTCGATGAGTCGGATGGAGATATTGTACGAGAAACTCAACCCACCCACCCCCCGCACAAGTGGAACGATTGTTGGAAAATCTTAATTAAAAATTATAGATGGAAAAAATACGATCAAGAGTTTATACTTTGAGTACAACAATCAAAACGAACAAAAACGAGCTCTAGTTGTTACACAACTTCCTCCGATGCTTGAGTCGGTCTAGATTTAAACGACGATGACGAAATCTAGCTAGAAGAAATTGTCCGACAGATGGGTAGGGACAAAGCAAAAACGAAGGGAAATGGGACTTCTTCGGGTGCATCAGATTTTAGCATGAACGCATGCCAAATGCGGAAAATGAAGGAGACATTTGATCGATATAATCTTAATTTCACTGAATGTTTGACGTTCGACAAAGAAAAAGAAGAAGCAAAAAAGAAGGAGCGCGCAGAGAGACAAGAAATGGAGGATATGAAGTTCTTGATGGAAAACATCAACCATCTTTTGGGACCGGCTTTGGAGCTCGTTTTGAAGAAAAAAAAGTAGATTATACAAAAATATTTTCCTTAGATTGTTGTTTGTTTGTTTGTTTTTGTCTTTTTTCTAATTATTTAAAACTTAGGTTTTTATGTAATTTTTATTTTAATTAATGTAGTGGTTTTTAATTTTAATTAATTTTATATTTATTACTCATTTAAAAAAATTATAAATTATAAATATCAATTATTTTTATTTTAAAAAAAAGTGAAGGAACCTTTCTCATACACACATTTGGCTTTTGGAGAGAAAAAAAAAATAAAGTGACAAACAAAGCAAAAAAACTTCCACACGCATCCTCCGGCCTAAGATACGTCCCTACAAGATACACATGTATAGATACATATGTAAAAAGCTAGTAATTAGCCAACTAATTATTAATTATTAAATATAAAATAGCGATATAGTATTAATGATAAACGCATTAAAATATTCCAAATGCTCGGTCAACATGAGAAATTATATTGCAATAAATTTCTTGTTGGATGAGGAATTCACAAGTAAAATTTGTGTAGTGAATAACAAACCGAAAGTTCCAGAAACAGGTTAAAACTGAAAACCCTAAATGAGCTTACAAATTTCCATTGGCCACATACCCCACCACAAAGGCACAAACAATCAATGAAACAAGTGTAGATGTAGAGGCCTTTTTCACCACAACCACCTCTCATAGGCCATTTCGAAAGCCACGTGAAATGTCACTAACGTGGCCCTATAAATATCCACTACTTTGTCTTTAACACTTCGCCCCTCCCCTATATATACCCACACCCTCCTTCTTACCATTATCACCACCCGACATGGCTGCTTCTTCAATCTTCATGGCAACTCCCATCACACTCCTCAGAAAAACTCCCACCTTCTCCGTCAAATGCATGTCACAAACACCACAAGGCGGTGAACCGGAGATTTCAAAACCAGCAACCACCCCAACACCACCACAGATCAACATTCCTCCTCCTCCGCCACCTGCTCCAAAGGTCAGCACGAAGTTCTCTGATGTGTTGGCGTTTAGTGGACCTGCACCGGAGAGGATCAACGGAAGGTTAGCCATGATAGGGTTTGTGTCGGCGATGGCTGTGGAAGTGAGCAGCGGTCAAGACGTCTTTACCCAGATCGGCAACGGCGGAGTTGCGGTGTTTGTGGGGACTAGCGTGGTGTTGACGTTAGCTTCGTTGGTGCCGTTGTTTAAAGGAGTGAGTGTGCAGTCGAAGTCGAGTGGACTTATGACGTCAGATGCAGAGCTTTGGAATGGGCGGTTTGCGATGTTGGGTTTGGTGGCTTTGGCTTTTACTGAATATGTTAAAGGCAGTGCCCTTGTTTAATGTATTACAAATAATTGTATTAAAAATTTTAATCAGAAATAGGAAAATTATATTTTTTTGTAATAATTATATGTTATAGTTTCGGTTTGAGTTTTCGTGTTTCGTTCTTTTTTGCAAAACCACATTAAAAAAATTAAAAGTAACATTCGAATTTATTTGGAAAATGATTCAGAGGGCAGTTGATTTTTTTTTATTATTTTCTTTTTATGCAAGATACCATCGATTTGTATTTACCATATCCTTTTGATCGGGTTTATGACGAAACACAATATATTACTGATTTTCCTTTCTTAAACCATTCATCAGTTCGATTTAGTCCATCAGAATATTTCCTATGTCAATTAATGGTAATCAGCCCAATGTTTCAAACGAACAGATACACAATATACAGAGGGGCAACAACAATCCAATTTTCAATGGAATAATTTGCGTTCCAAAAGAGTTACATTCCTAGTGAGTAACTATGAAGATAATAAAGCACCCACACATTTCATGTAGACTTATCCCTACATAATACACAAAATTTACTAAAGGGAAAATGACTCAGGTAACTATTTATTGATTTTTTTTTTTTTTACATTTGGTTATTTTTTTGTACGTAATATACCATCGAATTTGTTGTTTGTGTTAGCCATAACCCTTTTGACCTACTATCAACTATGATAATCAGTCAAAAGAGTTATGGTAAACACAAACAACAAGTTCGATGATATATTGCATACAAAAAAAAGGAAAGAGACCAAATATGAACAAAAACTGTAACATCCGTTTTCCTGGAAGAGTCGAATCAGGGTTTCAAGGAGTCAAATGCATGGTTTTTGGGAAAAACCAAGGCTCACGACGTAAGCCATAGAAAGGTCATGGCGTGAGGAGCGACTAAATGAAGAAATTGTATATATGCTGAGCTCACGACGTGAGGATTGCTGCAGCCCAAGCCCACATACTTTTCGGATTTCCCACGTATTTAAGCCCCCTTAACTCTGTTTTAGGGTTCATTTCTCAGCCTCTACCTCCCTCCAACTCAAAAAAACCCTAACCCACATCCCTCTTCGTGGTTTTGGATCCACCTTGGTGGTTTAGTGGCTAGAAGAAGAAGAAGATGTTCTAGAGTGTTGGTCCAACAAGGAGGCTTCATCATCATCATCATCTTGTGCACATTCTGGACCTCTGTAAGCGACCAAGATTCAACCTTTATGAGTTTTACTAGATCTAGAATCTTGTCCATTTTCCTTCATGATTGTGGAAGTTTGCATGGAGGAGATCCATAAATTTGGCAACTTTATGGCATCTAAGGGTCCCTGATATTGCCATATTTATTCACATTTTTAGGCAATATTTTAATCATTTTAATTAATATTATGGTTATTTGCAAAGATATAGGGTACTTATGAGATTGAATTTTATTTTGCAGCCAAAAGGAACACTCTTGAAGATAAGGACCAAAAGCGACAAGAATTGGAACTTTAGAGGATTGCAGCTTTAAAAGGAGAAGATTCTAGCTTAAAAAGTCAGTCTCACGACGTGAGGAATCCTTCTCACGACACGAGCCTCAAGATTCTAGAAGATTAACACGGGAAGTCAGCATCTGTGTTCGATACGGATAACAACTAAGCTCCCGGCGTGAAATGCCTTATCTCACAACGTGAGCAGAGATTTTACGTAAACTATATATAGTCCTTGGCACTTACGAATTTAAGAGTTTTAGAGAGAGACTTGGAGGGTTGAGAAAGAGATTTCTAAAGGAAATTTAATCATAGAAACCAAGTCTAAGC